GGGAACTGCGCAAAAAACGCATCCTCGTACCGGCAGCCGGTACGCTTTCTACTAGGTTTTTTTTTTTTTTTCACGGTGTACTATCTTAATGATGTTTCAAAAATTTGGGCTGGTTGTACTTCTCTGGAAGCTTCTAATACCAACCACACCAATATGGTTGGCCTTCCCTTCCCTGCAAGCATGGTGTTTCACGTGTAGCAACCTCGTATCAGAGCTGGGGTAACACAGACGTTATGGGCGCTACCCACTCTATTTCTTCGATTTCGCGCACAACACAGAACCGCTGCTCATTTGCACGATCAAATCAAGGCAGGCATAGCTCTGTGCATTAGCCTGACAGAGATTTATGTTGAAATGAGGCCAATACGCGTCCCTTCCATCCATTTTGCTTTATTATGCGTTTTTGCATCTTTATGCAAATGCGAGCTGGCTGATTAATCGAGCTCTACATTATGTTCAACAAAAAAATTTTCCCGAATAATGGTCGAGCTACCACACGATCATCATTTGTCAGTGACAACTTTTTATCAGTCTTCAGCAATTTTCCAGATGTGCAATTAAGATTGGAAAAAAATGACTTTGTTTTTTCAAAGGCATCTCCGAGTGATTGTGTACAACAAAATGCGTCAGTTTGCTGGAGATACAATCGAAATTGATGTCGCGGCAACGGATACGATAAGATCGATAAAAGAAAAGATAATGGAAGTGACGGAAATTCCAATTGGCATACAGGATATCACTTTTGGAGGTATATTTGCATATAAATTTTAATCAAGCAGCTCCATCCACTCATTCAAGCTAGCATTTTTTACTGCAGACACATGAATGTTCAATTAATTGTGCTACAATGGCAAATGTACTACCAAATGTGACTTGCGACAGTTATAAAAAATATGAAGCGAGATGATGAGGACCAACTTCCAACCCCACCGAAATGATATCATGCTGGTGGAAAGACACAACACTGGTGTGTAGGAGGCTAGAAAAACAAGCATAAATTGAACTGAAGCCAGTCAAAATTTAAGTGGCAACCAATCCCGAAAATTTTCGCAATTCGCAACTAATCCCAACGTTACCGCAAATTATTTCCAGTTCGAAGTCTTGACGACGAGAAGACCCTCAAACAATACCGAATTCAGGATGGCTACACGATCTACTCAACGCCAACATACATTGAATTACCAGATCAACCCTCGCTATAAGGATTTTTTTTTTTTTTTTAGATAAGCTTTCAAACTTTTCGTTGCTTGCAAACTTTTTTTTTTTTTTTTTTTTGTTAAATGCTTTAAGAATATCGCAGAAATGAATAATTTGGGAAAATCACAGGCCCAGAAAAGTCACACACACACACAGTCATTGCACAAAACATTACGAACGAAGCGAAGATTGTTCAGTGCAGCAATAAATTTGAAAAACGAACTCAATTATGTTTGGAGTATTCAAAAAATGTACAAACTGCCTTACTTACAGTATCATACAAGTGGAAATATTCAAGAATTTGGAAGGAATATGGCGGTGAGTCACACAGAAAAGAATTACTTTTGCTGGAAGAGAGTTTCTACTTGCAGCCTGTTCGTACTGATCTATGTATTTTTGTGAAGTAATTCATAACTGAACCTCAACTATATGACCGTGACCTGCAATTCATACTTTCCTTACCACCATGCATTAGCACGAGTACGCAAATCAAAAACTACCACTGTTATCAACTACTACTGAATAAGAAGTCCATTCGTTTTCCTATGCGAATCATCTTTTCAATGAAACGTCGAGATGTTCCTGACTGGTACTGGACCAGAAATGAAAGGACTTTTTAAAACATTGTGCAGTGCCACGGGTGAGTACATTTATGCTAAGCTAAGGGACAGAAATGCGGAAGAAATGCTAAGCTAAGCAATAAATCAACGGTGGCACACACCAGGCCAGCCGGTGCTTCATGCGTTTTTGCATGATACCGCTGAGGTGTTACTGCTGGAACACCTGATACGCCTGCAAGCAGGGTACATGCAAACTGAAGCTCATTTTACGTTTGTCAGCGCACACAAGAACAGCAAACATCTTCAGTAAAATACTGCCTCCCGCTCACTGGTTACCGAGCTAAGTGTCAACAGTATTCCCAACCAGATAATTACACATACGCATGAGGGAACTAGTCATATTTTAAAGTCCCATTTTTGTTATTTCGGCCACATATAAGCACAAAATGACCTCAGCTTCTTCGCATAACTGGTTGGCGAAACTGTTACAAACGTCTTTGACTTTTCTGAACGCATTATACAGGTGTGTGCTAAAACCTATTTTATGCCTACATGCCAACAAATGTTCTCATAAAATCAGACTATTCAACTTAGTCTGATTCTTGAGTTGGCACTTTGCCAGTGGTGTCAGAATCTCAACTCTGACATGCTTGTACGTGTGACGTAGGTGTGTGTGGCAGGGTGAATTTGTAATTTTCTGCTCGCACATAGGCAAACTTTTCCATGAAAAATTTCAGCTTTCCATTTTGTCCAGTTCCCAAATTGTTTCCTCTCTCCCCGGAAAAAATTTACGTTTTTTTAAGCGTCTGTGAGACCCCGACGTATGTGAACGTTGATTTTAATTTGTCAAGATCGCACATGGGCTAAGAAGATTCTCGTAAAATCCCGGCTTTCTAGCTTCATCGGTTGCAGAGTTGAATGTGGGTAACAAAAATCTGAACATACAAACACAGACACAAGCACACATACACACACAAACACAAGTACACACAGCGCACATATATATATATATATATATATATATATATATATATATATATGTACGAACACGCATAGGCAAACAAAAAAGCACACATACGTACATACATGAACGCGTACGCTCACTGAACACAGAAGTACACCTACTGCACACACACACAAACACACACAAACACACCCAAACACGCGAACGGACACAAATGCATGCACAGCACACACACATGGACATTAATAAACAAGAATCCGCACAGACACGTATACACACGTGTGCGAATTTTGATGCGCGCGAATAGTCATACACTTACAAATAAATAAAGACATAAAGATGGGGATAATTACATACACACACACACAGAAAGGACATGGACAGGGACAAACACAGATACTGGTGGTGCACCCTACTGTAGCAGCCTACAAAGCCAAAGGAGAGAAATTAGAATTTCAGCCTAAAAGTCACCCCATCTTAGCACACATTTTGCAAAAAGAGCTTACTCCACCATTT